GTTTTGTCAAAAAACGATAATAATCTGTCTGGCAACAAGAAAAAAGTCGAAGGTGTTATTGACCAAAATAACTTCAAAAAATGTATTACTTATCGTTTACAGTGCACAGAAAATCCCAGATATTGCTTGATTTGTTGTAATGCAATTTATAAAAATATTAAAAAAAATTTAATATATTGTAAGCATTTGTATCTAGTAATAATATTTTGTAGCTAGTAAAATATATTTTTTATTTATTCAACCTCTCAACATGTGCTTACTAGAAGTCACCTGGTGTCATCTACTATGAATGCAGGACAACAGCCGATGCACGAATATTTTTAATAACTCCACAAGGAATTAAAAATTCCAATCATGATTGTGTTGCTTGTGTGAGTCCATTTCAAATAGGTAAAGAAATAATAAATTACTCACAATCAATTTAATTTAACTATCAGACGACCGGTTTCGCTTTCTACAATATGCAAAGCATCCTTAGGTCTCGATACAAAGTTAAACAAATGCTAAAATAATAAAAACCCATATTAGGGTGTTGTCTAATAACGATAAACAAAGTAGATGTTGTAAATTACAATAATTATGCCAATATTACATGTCTGTGGTTTTATTTAAATGAGTAAGTTGAATAAAAGGTATAAAAGTTTTAAAAGTTTAAACAGACAAGGTAAGGCCCACAAATTGTTATAAAATAGTCTCTTCGATTGTAATAAATTAATAAATGAGCAAATAAATAAAATAAACATTACTTACATGCCGGTACTCTATTAATTGATGGATGGTAGAACATGGTTGAAATTACTATGTATTGTTGAATGGAGAACTCAATTCTATTGTTGCAGTTGTTTGACAGTAAACGGGAAGTTCTTGAGGAGATAGATTTGATCCAATGAAGAAGAGATATGTGTATGATTGTTTGTTAAATGAAAGTGATGTAATATACCATTGTGTTATTAAAAGTTATTTATACTTATTCGAGAGATATATTTTTTTTTCGAGAGATATATTTTTGAAATGTGTAATTCTCTCTCTCTCTCTCTCTCTCTCTCTCTCTCTCTCTCTCTCTCTCTCGAATAAGTATAAATAACTTTTAATAACACAATGGTATATTACATCACTTTCATTTAACAAACAATCATACACATATCTCTTCTTCATTGGATCAAATCTATCTCCTCAAGAACTTCCCGTTTACTGTCAAACAACTGCAATAATAGAATTGAGTTCTCCATTCAACAATACATAGTAATTTCAACCATGTTCTACCATCCATCAATTAATAGAGTACCGGCATGTAAGTAATGTTTATTTTATTTATTTGCTCATTTATTAATTTATTACAATCGAAGAGACTATTTTATAACAACTTGTGGGCCTTACCTTGTCTGTTTAAACTTTTAAAACTTTTATACCTTTTATTCAACTTACTCATTTAAATAAAACCACAGACATGTAATATTGGCATAATTATTGTAATTTACAACATCTACTTTGTTTATCGTTATTAGACAACACCCTAATATGGGTTTTTATTATTTTAGCATTTGTTTAACTTTGTATCGAGACCTGAGGATGCTTTGCATATTGTAGAAAGCGAAACCGGTCGTCTGATAGTTAAATTAAATTGATTGTGAGTAAGTCTTATTTATTATTTCTTTACCTATTTAAAAAAAATCCTTTATAGAAGGTAAATTAATATAAAAACGCTATCAGGCAACATCACAAAACATTGACGGAATAACTATTCCATCATCACTGCTATCTGGATTTATATATTTGAAGCCAGTAAATATATCGGTAAAAATCTTTTAAATGTAGTAAAATTAACTTTAAATTACACATATGATGTTATAAAACTAGGATGTTTTAAGATACTATCAACAAGTCGTCAAAGACACTTCGTCTAAGGACTACAAACTAATCGACTAATCCCAGTGGAGTACTACGTTACAATTTGACCAATTCCGTTTCTTACTTAAACATCCTAGTTAATTTTACTACATTTAAAGTGTTTTTACCCATATATTTAGTGGTTTCAAACATCTAAATGCAGATAGCATGATGATGGAATAGTTATCCCGAAGACGTTTTGTGATGTAGCCCGACGTGGTCTAACAGCAAAACATTCTAACGGTCACCGGTGTTGTCCCTCCGCTGAACCTGTTAAACTATTAAAGTGGACTGTGTTTTATTGTCTAACATATAAATACACGCCTTAGCACTCATAAAGAAATTTGCAAACAAAAGTATTCGCTTCGCTGTAAAAAAGTAACTTCAAATGAAAGGACAAACACGAGGCAAAGTAAAAATCCAACTTTGGCTTTACAAAAGTGGAGCCCGGTATTTGTATAATCATCATATTATAATCTAGTTTAAACTTTCCCAAGTGGCAATTTGACTACTGCCTGAGCATACATATTTCTCACATTTTATGGTCACAGATCTAATTTTGTTTATAAAAGTCTAGGTGTAGTTCCTTATTAATTTATTCAAATAGCTCTTTAAGAAACATGAGCGTCTTGAAAATGGAAAAAGTTGATGGTTATACAACCTAGATTTGAATCTAATTAAATTTTTATAAAGTAATTTACGTAATTTGGTAATATAGGAGTTACACTGATATCAACTTTTATACAAACCCACTTTTATCTTCTACAGTAAATTACTGATTGATGTTGTTTATGTAATTTTTTTATAAATATGACAATAAAAAACAAAATCTTATCTAAAGTGATCTTAGTTAGCCAGCTAACGAAATTTTGTGCACAAACAAAACATAACAAATATAACTTACAACAATAAGAACAAACATGTGACGAGCGTTTTCTCTAACCTATCCTACCATACCACCTACCTTTCTAGCCTTGGTTTGGTACCCTTCAGCATCTTTTAATTCCTTACGACCCAGCGTAACGTGGTCTTGGGTAGTGCCTACGTTGTACTCCACTCTGTCCACGAGTTCTCCCTAGTTTCGGTACATTGGGAACAGGGGGGAATAGTACAAGGGAAAACAAAGAAAGTACCACAGAGAAAGACATATAGCAAACAGTTATCAATATATACAAACAGTTAGTTTCCCATAAAGTGACAAAGGCACATATAAGTAGTCCGTTATTAGTAAGTTGGGTGCAAAGCAAAATAAGTATTACGACATTTAGGGTACGGAAGGATGTAAAGGTAAAAGGGTAGAAAAAAGTATAAAACAAAATCAGAAGCAGTCTTATACACAGTGTACTTAAAATCTAAAGAGGGGACTCACCCGTCTGGCACGGCTTTGGTACCGTAAAGCCTTTTTAGTGTCTTGGGTGGCCGTTTGTACGTAATCCACTGCGTGTTCAACATGGTATTCGATGCGATCGATCATTTCGCCCTAAAATCCCCAGCGGAAAATTGTTAACAAGATAGAAAAGAAAGCAACCACATGCATGATCCTTAGAGTAACATGTTAATTAGTTAATCACATTAAATATTTATATGTTTAATTATGCAGCGGAGCAGCAATCTGACTAAAATAAGCCTGGTAATTGACAACTCAGATTAGGAGAAGGATTTAATTAAGAAAGAAATAATGAATTAAAGATTATCTGCCTTGCTGCCAACTTAAACATATATTAAACAGTTTGCAACGAAACAGCTATACCTTTGCAAACTGTTAAAATTTCCCTAGTGTAGTTTTCTACTAATGGTAAATTAAATATAAAGTTAAAGAAATCGTAGTTGTTGGCGATATATAAGATAGACATAAGGTTGTTAAATTAGATTGGACTTGAAATCTCCTTTGATGTTGTATTAAATCTATGTTTGTTTCTCTCGAACACATTCACTGTTATGGGAAGTTTAACTAGTAGTCCTGGATCTGAGGGTCATTTTTACCATGTAATACTAACAAGCTAATTGTCCGTGAGTAGCTTCATTTTGACGAAACGTCTAACTTTTGTCGTTACAACAATTTGCGTTTGTTGTAGCTAACAGAGGTAGCAGGGATGAAATTTATTGATTTGACGATCCTCAAAAATTTATTCCTAACGGGTTTTTTGTTAACTCTCAAGATATTTATCTTAGTTGACCGAAAAAATATTTGTTTCATTTGTAATATGCATCATTAACGATGTCATCGTTAGCTACCACAAACGCAAATTTTTGTAAGGGCAAAAGTTGGGTGTCTTGTTAAAATGAAACCTCACGAAAAATTAGCTGATAACAAAATTTTCCCAAATTTATGAAAACGACATAGAGAAAACCTAAGGCTAGGCGCATACACATCGAATTTGGACGGTCGATAAAAGCTCGACCGAACTTTTGTCGACGATGCCTTGCGCGCACACTACACGATATTTATTCGATGACGTTTTTTAATCCACAAAGATTTGTTAGGTGGAGTACACAAAATCACAATGAGCAATACAGAACCACGTAGCAACACGGAGCGACGTACCTAGAGCAGTGTCAAAGAAACGCAACTGGTCCTCTGGTCGGTCGATAAAGATCGATGTGTGTGCACGCGTTCATTTAATACTATACGTCTTGGAACGACGGCAACGACCATGGCAGCCGTGAATGCAGTGCAGTGACATTCATCGATCGCCACACGACATCGATCGCCGTTTGGCGATCGATTTGTGTGCCCGCTCACATTTGTTTCTTCGCGCCACCAAAGGAATTTGTCCGATCGAACTTATATCGACCGTCCAAATTCGATGTGTGTGCGCCGAGCCTTAGCAATGAGTAAGGAGAAAAAAATATTTTTGAAGCATAGCTGCGGCTACGGACGGAACGGGGATGTATGAAAAAATAAAACCGGTTGAAATGATAAAATGTAACGATAGATCGTGCAACCACACACTACGTGGAGTAGTAAATGCAGTCTACAAAATAAAATACAATAAAATTATAAAATAAGTGAAAAATAATAAATTAAATTAAAATAATCTAAAATTAAAATTAATTAATTAAATTAAAACAAAATTAAAAAAATAAAATAAAATAAATTAAACAAAAAGAAATTAAAATACCTAAAATAAAATCAAATAAAATAAAACACATTAAAATAAAATACAAATAAAGTAAAATAATTTAAATAAAAATAAAATAAATTAAATTAAATTAACACCATCGTTCCGTGCGTAGACGATAAGAAAGCTATACTTTCCCTCCTCGGTCACTTCCAGAGTGCCACATTCCGTTTTTTTTTGCATTACAACAATTAAATTGTGATTGTGTAGTAATTATATATTATTATATTAAATAAATGATAAATATCGCTTAAAATTGGGTAATAAGCTCATTATTATTACAATTATTAAGATACGAAACAAAATAGGCAATATTAAATATTAAAAATTTTACTTTATAGAAAAAAATAAACCGTACGGTATTAAGAATATGTCTAGGGAATATTTATTTAATTATTATCATTATTTGTTTTGCAGATTATAACATTCAAATAAATTGTAGGATGTTCTTTTAATTGGTTCAATTATTTGGAAAATACCTAATAATCAATTCAATCAAGATGTGAAGTGATAAGAAAGAAAATATCTGACCAAGCAGCAATATAGCAACCAAAACAACAAGGGCTATTTGGATGTACCAAAGTCTAAACTTTTTGGCAAAAGATGGATTCTGAAACCTAAACTGATCTATTGGTTATATATAACAGTAGTAAAATTCAGAATTTACTGACGCTGCACAGGTTTTTTAGAAAACCACTGAGAGTACAATGAGATTGCGCCGCTTTGCAATCTTAGATGTACTGATCTCCTCCTCTACAAATACATGAAAGAAGGATCGTTCTGGGAAAAGCCTTTATGCTCATTTAGTATCTTAACCCAGTAAAACAGTAACAGCAAACGCTCAAATCATAAAAGGTATCCCTATATTATGATACTGATGTACTGATAGATCAAAAACACAAAGAGTAGGAATAGGGATTACACTTATCAGAGTGTCAATATTTCTGTAATATTTCAAGCAGAACTCCTGTTACCTAAACAAACGACCATAATTTTTTTGTGTGAATTTATTTTTTATTGATTCAAATGACAATAATGTTTGAAAATAATCAAAATTTCAGAATCCACTCACTGTAGCTCGATGTGGCCTCCTTTTGCCTTGACTATGGCCTTCAAACGATCAAAAAACAAGTTGCATGCTGCACGAATGTGATCTTCCGGTATTTTGGTCCATTTACGTATAATTCCTTTCTTCAGCGCATCCATACTGGCATACTTTTTAGTCCTTACCTTGCTCTCGGTATTCCATCTTGGACCAGATGGAATAGTCCATAGGATTTGCGTCTGGCAAATTCGAAAGCCATTGTGTGGATGAAATAAAGTGTGGAACATGGTTTTTTAACCATTCTTGGTTCACACTAGCTTTATGAGACGGTGCCGAGTCTTGTTGGAACGTCCATGGTCTACAACCGAAATGTTTACGTGCCCACGGCTCTAAAGCATCTTCTAACACATTTTCCCGATAATAAGTTGCATTGACTTTGACACCAGATTCAATAAAAACGATTGGAGAGCGTCCATCGGCGGTTACAGCTTCCCATACTATTACTTGAGATGGGAAATTACTTCGGATGGCCGTTCGTAAGCTCAAACGTTCATAGGTGCGTTCGGTCAAGTAAACGCTATCATTTTGAGAGTTTATGAACTGCTTAATAGAGAAATTTTTCTCATCAGAGAACACTATGTTCGGAAATTCGCCACGTTCGTGGAGGCGTAACAACTCCTTTGATCTTTCAAGCCGAACTTTTTTTTGCTTTGGTGTAATATTGTGTGCTTTTTGTAACTTGTAAGGCTTGACCTTGAGCTCCTTTTTCAATATTCGTTGTATGCTTCGCTGGGATATTTTCAGTTCTTTGGCCATTTGATTACCACTACCACGTGGAAGTCGAGTCTTCACTTTCCGAACCATTTCAGGTGATGTTGCTGTTTTTTTTTTCGTCCACCACTATAGCGTTTGGCAATGCTACCAATATCATTATAACGAGTTATGGTACGATACACAAACATTTTATTAACTTTGAAATGTTTGAGCCGACGAACAATAGCTGGTTGTGATTTTCCAGCCAAATAAAACGCAATCACACTATTACGTTTAAATTCCATTGCGAATAACTTTTGTTGTATGTATAAAACATAAATGCAAATGGTTTTGACGACTTAAAAACAATATACTGAAGTGTTATCAGGCCGACTTTGACATAGCTGTCATTATCGATTTGCCAGATATATCGATGTGAAGTAAGTAACAGTTCAATTGCGTAACCCTGTAGATTCAAGTGTACCTGAAAATGTCTTATTTCCGACAAAATATTTATTATCTCAAATAGCTAAGAAGAACTGAAAACTATGAAATCAACAATTTGTGAGTTTGTAACGGCTTGGAACTGTAAAGGCCCTGGTGAAGTATCTGGCGAAGCAAAACAAAGTAACCAAGTTATGGGCGCTAGCGCATAAAATAATTGCTGGTAACGGCATTACTGATAGCCTCGCCGAAGAACCAAAACCATTCTACAGTATCCCGAAATAACATTATCGTGGAAGATGACCAAAACTGGATAGAGTTATTGGGTGACACTTTCTTGGTCTAATTTTTGATCTTTCTTCTATAGAATTACAACTATGGATTCACTCCAGTTGTGAAACTTTTTCTATCCATGTTTTTATTAATTAATTCATTAGGATATGAATGAAATGGAAGACAATTCTATGACAAACTTCAGAATAAATATGAAAAGGTACAAAGGAGAGCTGAAAATGACAAATTGGCAAAAGAACCAATGCATGCAAAAGTCTTTGGTAACCATAGTTTAGATGATATTTCCTGTAACAACGGCATAAGACTAGCAAAAATGTCAAATAAACTCAAAGTGGTATGTACATGTTTCCTCCACAACAATATTAATAATAGTCCACAGACAAGTCGACAACTTATGCCATGTTACAGGCTGGAACTGAATAAAGGTCCTTAAGTAACTGGCGAATATTCCTTTTATCGAATTAGAGTTACTCTGCGATATATCAAAAAATCCCATAGCAGAGGATGTCTAAACATAGGAACAGGAACTTAATGCACCGCATGGGAAAATGTTTCAGAGCAAAGGCACACACAACGGTTATTACGTTCAGAAGTTCTTAGCGGTTCAAAACATTGAACTCAGAATAATCAGTATTCTCACTGAACACTGCTCACTCAGATATAATATCTGTAAAATGAGCATAGTGTACAGAGCGACTGTCCATATTATATAAATTAAATCAGATAAATACCAAAGGCTAGCAGCACCATAATTGGTAATCAGTGTTCAATTAAAGACAAATGTTAAACATCAGTAAACACAAGCAGTGGTTAAAGTAAAGAGCATGTGAAAGGGTAAGTTGTGTTTCGAAACCGAAAGAAATAAAGGCAATTCGTAGTAAAAAATATAATAACTAACTTTTACTCCCCAAAGAGATGAGTAGTACTAAAAAACGTAAAGATTTAAGCATAAAGATAACCTGAACATATTCTCAATCAATTTCAGTGACTCTAGAAATTTTATATATTTTAAAGAACTCAAAATGACGTTTCACAATTTTATTTATTTTAAAGCAGCCAACATGAGGTTTTACTGACAAGTTATAAAAAAGTAAAGTAGCTTTCTTGTTAAGTAGTTTCACGAAAACTTAAAAAAAAACATCACATAAAATATATTTTTTATTACATTAAATGGCTTCGAAAAAAAAACATTCAAGGAACATTTCATATGTTTATTATTTTTTAGAGTCTTCGTGATATAGGTTGTTAGCATTAGTTTTAAAACTCAATCCAATTTATTGTGTTAATGAAATTTAAAAAATATTGTAAATTGTAAACTGTTAAACCAATATAACAGAAATATAGTAGGAGCATGCATTCAGTAGAAATTCCGCTGGGAACTGGTAGTACTCTTTTTCAAAAAAATGAACCATTCTAAGCAGTAGATATAATATTATAGTACGTTTATAAAAAAGATGCGATGTAGTTAATTTATCAAGAGCTTAGCTATTTGATGGTCATAGAAATAACTTCAGTGATCGATAAAATTGCATTAATAAAATATGTGCTAACCTTCTTTAACTATTCATTCGAGGTTGTCTAATTTGACAACTTCAGAAGAGAATTAACTTCCAATAAAAGACAATGAGTTGATAACAATGACAGAGAATCAGCGTTCATTTATACAAATATAGCAATAAATTAGTCAAATGACAGAGATAGTCGACGAGCCACCGTTCTATCCTGCTTCCTCTTTGACGAGACCTTAATACTCGATAGACATTTTATATTACTGTACCTAGAAGAGTAAGACGTACCTATACCTTTCTGCAAACCGACTTATCGAGATCTTTTGTTAATAATCTTTTAGGTCATGTGGTAGTGTGTCACATAAATTCCTGGTTACTATGCAAAATGGACTTCATTGTCTTAACAAAGAATCAATTGTTTATCTTTAAACTTTAGTAAAAGTTACTAGATTTAAATGACTACGATGTCACGAACGTACCGTTCCGATGTATGTGAAAATGTCATTTAATAGAAACATTCCCGTGCTCGACAAGAGTCGAATCCACAAGATGGTCAGGGAACGGTACATTATATGATATTTTTGTTAGTTCTGGACTTTTAAAGCCCACTTTTCTCTTAATTATCAACTACTATGTTGATCAAATTTAATGAGCGTAGTAATGTTAATAAATATCTTCCCATTCGTTTATTCTGCAATCCGAGACACAAAATTCTGCTCTACATTTAAATTTTAAGTGCTTTTTATCTTTGCTTAAGCGTCATATTTGGATAAGTTTACATAGGAAGGGTCGATGAATTTCCTCGTGACATACGTAGTCTCAATCTTCTTTTTATCTAGACATGACGCTGTCTGTTTTTCAATGTGCCTCCAGTAAGTTATCGTTCCATTGTTTTCGTGGTCTTCCTACTAACTGATCGTCTTCCAATTGGGGAACCGTCTCTTTTCGTCTATACT